TTTTATTTTATTTATTTTTATATTGCCATATTTTATTCAATATGCTCCTTTAGATAACTTTTTACTTATTGTTCCTTATAGCTTTGTGAAGCACCTTGAGATGACGTTGTCTTTAAAGTGTGCTATATAAATCAAATGTATTATTATTATTATCATAAGGAATTCCTAAGCAAAATTGACAATTCGACTGCAACCCCTGTCTTTTTTCTCATAGTGCTATGTTTGTCTGAACCTGTTTTCAAAGTGGTTTCGCCAAAATGTTGGCCTTGGTTAACTCCACTCTGTGTTTCCATGTACAGAAGGATGCTTTTCTGTTTTCAGATTGGGAACCTTTGGAATGTTTGATGATGTCAGATGTAGAGGAATGAGCGTAGTGTCTGGTCTGTTGTCAGAGTTAAGGTAGCTAACTAGCTCGCCAGGTTTGCATCTTGTCAAACTACTATTACCATTGTTAAACGTATTGTTCTTAGCTTGTCTAACCTAGCTTTTAAGTCACAATAAGTTTGTTCGGAGCATGGCTAAAAGTTACATTAAGAAAAGGGTCACTTCACCACCCCTCCATCGTCTATGCACCCTTTTCAGCGGATCTGAGTGGCATTGGCAGGGAAGCCTGTAGTTTTCAAAGCTAAAGGAACTGTAATGCTGCGTTCACACCGGACGCGATGCGAATATTCGCTTCGCTCTAATCGCTCCTATCGCATCGCTCTAAACGCTGGAGTTTCACCGCGGCTGCCAGCTGTGTTTACTCGCATCATTCAAACAAGACGCGCTGGCTCGGGAGCTACAACTACAACAAATGAACATATTTTACCGTGATTAAATTGTAATACACGTTTCTAAATGATGCCGAAGTAACAACATACTGATACCGGTTAGTAACAACCATGAATTAATGCTTTGACAAGTCTGCAGACAAGACGGCAGGCAAAACACCTTTTAAAATGCTTGTTTTCTGAATGAAGATCGGGTCGACCAGGCTAAGCTAACGTTGTATAGGCTCATTCCACACTCATAACAACGGCCTACAGACATAAATAAACCAGCGACTGTATTCACCATGACACAGACAGTCTGTGGTTTGTACTTGTTTAACTTTTGTCTAGTTTCTGAACAGATATGAGGAGCTGTGAGCTCTGTGTGCTAACTGCTAACAGCTAACGGCTGATGTTGTTTGGTTGAACGTCAGTGACGGCAGGCTGAGATCCTCACCGCTGATTGGCTTCCGCGAGAACGCGTCACGTGAATTTGACGCTCGAGTTGAAAAAATTGAACTCGCGTTTGACGCGGCACCGTTCAATCGCCTCAATCGCGTGATTCGCGCCGCGTCCACCGCTTCATGCGCGCCGTCGGAGCGAATTCGCGTCTGTCCGCATCTCTGCATTGACTTTACATGTAATCGCGCCGCCCCCAAACATCGCATCGCGTCCGGTGTGAACGCAGCATAAGTTGCTTTTTTAGTGTTGTAAGATGTAGTAGCACTAATGCTAGCTTGACAAAATCTCAGCTCTAAATTCCCAAAAGTGCCACGGTCTTTCTCAAAACACAATGTTGGTATATTTTCCAGGGCGGGCTTCTTTCCTTCGCTCCAGTCCACAGACAGCTGGGCCTTTCTCTGTGGAGTGTGCATGTTCTCACTGTGTCAGTGAGGTTTTCCTCCAGGAGCCCAAAGACATGCAGGCTAGGTGAATTGGTTACTGTAGATTGCTCCATATTGAGCTGGGATAGCGCCTCCTGAACCCTTCACAGGGTAAGTGTGTACACATGTGTAGTCACTTACGCTGGCACCTGCAGGGTGGAGCTATGGGCTTATTCAGACCAATTAGGCTCTACCCAGCCAAGTAAGCTGTGGCCCCGACTTTTCCACGGTCTCAACCGGGTGAGAGGAAGTTGGGGTGTGGTGGCTGTTAGCCAAAGGCCGGTCAGGGGCAGTGTGGTGGGTCGATGTTGTGGGACGACAGGGCGTTTATCCATCGGGGCTCCACCCACTGTACCCATAGAGTCCAGTAGAGGGTGGAGCCTGTGTGAGATAGAACGGTGGGTTACGTATTGTAACCAAGCGGCAAACTCTGGGGAAGAGCCGGGACGCCAATACGGAAGTGCCACAAACTGCAGTTCATATATTGGCCGATCGGCGATGACTGCAGAAAGGAGCAATTTCCATAGACCCCCATGTTAAAATGCCCAATTTTACAGCAGAAAAAAACATGTTTCTACCCCTGGATGCAATAAATATTATTATAGATATAGTTAGATTCCACCTTCATGATTATGAATCTGTGAGTGAATTGTTTTCTAACGCGACCCTTTTATTTATATTAGGTCTTAAAGTTTTTGCCTCACTGTCAGCTAACAGCAACTTGTCTGCTTGGCTACAACGTTAGTTAGTTGTAGTTACTGTACTTGACCCTTTAGCCGTGTTCGTGGTGATTGTGCCTTTTAGGGAATATTGTTACAAATACCAGACAATTCAAATGTCGTGCTGTGCGCTTGAATGTAGTAACAGAACTTCCAAGAAGTCTAAAATGATAATATTATACATGTTAACCCCGTTACCAGGTGTTTGTGTGCTTGTTAGCTTAGCTTGTTATGTAGCTTATTAGCCAGCTAAGGACGTAACCCTTTATACATGTATACATATATATATATATACAGTTTCGTTTATGATTCAGCCTTGGGTAAGACTTTTATAGTATATGGCTATGACGCCCATAATGCTAAACGGGAGCAAATGTTAAAAGGGGACCCAATTATCCCAGTGGTGGCCGCCGGAGCTAACGGAGCCGCAGGGGGCTAGCTCCAGCCGGCGTCCAGCTCCAGCCGGCGTCCCGGAGCCCCCTTCGGCTCCGTTAGCTCCGGGCGGTGGAGTCCGGCGTTATAACTGGAGATCAAGGAATGCAGCAAAACGCGGACTTGGTTCGCCTGCAGCCCGCTGTAGTATTAGCTAAATAAATTATGTTGAACAAGGCTTATTAAGCTGAACATCGCCACAATTGTTCTGCTATGTATCGGTACTTCTTTTATTTTATTAACGTGATGACAAGCATTAAGAATAACAAAAAATAGCTAATTCTCTTGCAGAGTGTCTCGTTTGATTATGAATGTAACGTTTATATAGGGGAACTACACTGTTTTATCAAAACCAAAGTGCCACGCAGTAACTTGGTATGCATGTATTTCATGTTAGCTTAGCTTCTTAGCCTGAGCTAGCTCTGTTTACTTCCAGTTCGGAGGCAGCAGGTCCCGCCTCGGCTCCGCCTCTTTGCCCTTATTTGGAGCAGGCGGGAGTTAGACTCTGACGTCGCTGTCGAGCCGTTAGTGGCCGACTCCGCCTACTAAGGGCTTCTCGGCAAGTCTGCAGAATCCTATGGGTGACGTCACGGACACTACGTCCATTTATATATACAGTCTATGATTGTAACCCTAGTTCTATAAGCACAAGCTCCGCCCTCTACCTAGGGGCCCTGTCTTTCCTATGCCGCTCGCTGAAGAGGGTGTAGGGTGACAGTCAGGAGGCGTAGCCGCCTTATATACTGTGAGCTGCGCGCGCATTCAGGTAGGCTCGCCCTGATTGGCCGGCTACGTTTATACAACTTCAGTGTGTGAACGCTCGTGTATCATTGATGAGAGTAGTACCCATAGAGTCCAGTAGAGGGCTGTGCTTATAGAACTAGGGTTACAATACGTAACCCACCGTTTCACCGCCCTACATAGGAGATAGACGCCAGTCACTCAGAAAACTAACGAAGACAAATGGATCTTTGGCCACTACTGACAAACTCTTTTAGCTAACTCTCAGCTTCGTATTTGCAGTCACTGGAGCTTTATAATGACCCACACTGACAGATTTGTGACAAAACAGGAACGTCGATTAAATTGAACCTAAAGTCTATATCATCTCCACTCTGAGGTTTATCTAAGAGGCGAACATCCAGCTGATCCTCTGTTTCTTCCGACCAGCTCTAATCGAACTGAACCTGAATCCTGAAGCTTCATTCATTTCACCAGACAGTGAAGTGATACGTGTGTTTGCTGGGTTGGCTGAGTAGACTGTTCTTCTCTGCCTGTCATCTGTTTTTTATTTATTATTTGTTTCATTTTCATGACAGTCTTAATCTAAATGAGGTTTCGCGAGGCGCCATAGACCGACAGAAAGTGTGTGTGTGTGTGTTTGTGTGTGTGGGTGTGTGTGTGCACACACGCGTGTCTGTGTCAAGTGCCTGGTTGAAAGGTTGATTGAACATTTTTTAACACATATATTTAAGCAGCCGGTCGGCTTCAAACATGTCTTGGAACTTTTTTACTCAGATCCTCCGCTTCTAAGGTTGCGTTCACACCAGCCTTGTATAGTCCGGTTGAATCGAACCCTAGAGATTTTAACCCCTTGGTGCGGTTCGTTTGTGTCCACCGAAACATAGGAAGCGTAGTATTTACGTGTCTGATTATATAATCCCATGCGCCGTCCACTAGAGTCTGTTGACATGCTCTCCAGATTAACAGCAGCATGAAAATAACCTGCCGATGCTCCATGGAGGAGGCTACAGTAGAAATTGCCGGGATTTGCATTTTTACCCGCTTAATGTCTGACCAATTGTTGAACAGTATTTCAATGCACATTACTTTTGTTTACAGTTTATAGTCCGTTTGAGGTTTGCCTGAGATGCGACTCGCGTTTGCGATACAAAGGAACTACATACTGTAGGACACTTAACTCTGATTGGTTAACTCCTGCTTTTGCTTCTACAACTTTCTGATACCAGTGGTGGAGATTATTGACCAGAACATGAGTAAGCTGAATGCAACTCCATTTTAGGAGTTTTTCCATAGCCCATTGACACTCCATCAAATACAGTGAAGGGAACAGTTACTGGGTCATATATAATCCAAGCGCCTGTTAATCAGAAGTGAATAGAGACACCTGTTACCCAGTTTGTTATTTTATATCACCAATTAGAAAGTGTTATTTATTAAACTCACTGTTTTGTTATGTTGCTGTGTTACAGGTATTGCGTATCTGGGGGGTGTCTGCAGTACCAAGAGGAAGTGTGTGTTAGCTGAGGACAATGGACTCAACCTGGCCTTCACCATAGCTCACGAGCTGGGACACAAGTAGGTTTCACTCTCCTGCATGTCATGATGTCATACTGATACTCTCATGTCCATGTTGCCGTTGTGAGAATGTTGGGAGAGTGTGCTCATGGTGGACCAGTCCAGAGTACAGACTGGAGTCTAAATCCCTTCCATGTTGATAAGGAACTAAATGTGCAATTAATTTAATATACAGGTTTGTGCATTGGCTTTACAGTTTATTAAATCAGATTAAATCAGATATAGTTTATGGATGCTGCATTACAAGGCATTGCATGAGTAAGAAATATAATAAAAATAAAAATAAAGAAATACAGTAAATATAAAACATATCAACAGTAGAAAAATATGTGCTGTATTTATAGAGCATCTATTGAATACACAGTGTAAAATATACAGAGTGATTTAGACTACGCTGTAATAGACCAACTTACTATTAAAGGTCCTATCATGCTATTTTTAGGCAATAGCATAGGTCTCAGATATATACAAATATATAAAAAACATGTCTATGAAGTGTTTTGCTAAAAATACCAAGCAGATCACCCATTCTAGCCATGCCTCATATCCCTCTATTTCACTTCCTGTTTCAAAAGTGCTGATTTTATGTTTAAAGCTTTTTAAAAAAAAAAAAAGAATTGATAAAAAAAGAAAAACGGAGGGGGATGAGCTCATGTCTGCTCATGCGGGAGATTCTACCGGCAGATACTGCTGTGATGAAACGCCATATCATGGATTATCAAGGATTATTTCTGAAACAGTATGGAGCTCAAAGGCTTTCTCTCTTGCCGGTTATACCACAAGGTGAGTTCCTTTTTATTTCCTGCTTCTTCACACACATGCTCTCCAGTACAGGTTAGCTCTGAGTGTTAGCGATGCTAATGTAAACTGACATTGTTTCTGATAGCAACGTTTCTGATAGTGCTGTGGGTCCGCCGCCGATATGACGTGAAATCGCTGTTCCTACTCGGACCCATCAGACAAACCAACAGGGATGGTGTAAGAGGATATGTCCATGGTGGAGTTCAGTAGAGAGTTGTTCCCCCTCCATCTCACCCTGCCCTCCAGAAGCGGTGGCTGTGAACAGTGAACCATTTTGAGTTGCTTTTTTTTAAGTGGGAGAGTCTCACTTCAGGATAACAAGCAGGCTGTATTTGATACACTCTGCAGTGCTCTGACTGCTGGACACATTTTCTGTGTCTTCTGTCCACAAACAGTGAGAGGACGGGTTCCCTGACTGATGTTTTCTGTGCAAGCAAACATGCCGGACACTTCAGACTGATTCCCAAACTTACCAGGAACTCCACTTTCTCTCCTTTTGCTCTTTTCTCTCAGCACATTCATGGAGACATAACGCTGGGAAGGATCACAGATTAAATGTCCATTCAGGCTCCCTCAGGATGTCCTACAGTACATTTGCTCCTGCTGTTCTCCATTTACACTGCTTTGTTTGCTTTTATGCCACTTCATTGTTATTTTGTAGTGTGCCCTTTGCAGCTGTATGGAATATAGTGTGACAAAATAATCAGTCAGCTCATGGTGCGATCACTCGTCATGTGACCTGTGTAGAATGAGTCTCATGTGATGATGAGGGATCAGTTATGAGAGGGAGATTGTAACCCTGGTCTCTGTTCAAAGATGATCTTTGGATGTAACAAACGTGTCACCCATATTAATACACTTGTTATCATGTGATCTGTCATCCACACGCAGGTCATGTGACCATCAAGGTTTCTGAGCAAAGATCATGCCTCACAAACTTCAGAGCAGTTTGGTGAAGCTGAACTTTTTAAAATGAAGAAAGAGATTGGAGGTGATGTTCATACTGTATAAAGTTTGAGCTATATTCTTGTTACCAGTAGTCCAGGGACAGTTGTGACTCTTGTCAAACATTACTCTCCCATTTAAGGATAAACAGATAATTTAGTTCCTGAAAGATTATTTTATTTCATTGATGAATAAGTATGGGTTCCTCAATTGGTGGATACAGAAAATCAATAGAAAAGGTCTTGCAGTGAAGGCATAAAGAGTGACTGGGACATTAATGCAAGCCAAGCTCAGGCGAGTTCTTCTGCACGCTGTAAGATGTGTGTTAAAGCTGGAAACATGCACTCTGCACATAAAGGCTTCATTCACAGGCCTGTTACCCTGAGCGTGTGCCAGACTCACCTGGACATTATGCCAAGTGTATGAGGCAGCTCCCTCAGGACTCTTCACAGTTTACACAGAGCTGGCAAACACTGTCTGGCTGCTGCCCATGAACATGCACATTAAAAGGTAACTGTTACATGAGCACACACACTGGTTCACAAACAAACACACACACACACAGTAACTATTAAAGCTTCTATAAACCCTGAGCTCAGGCTGGCGTAGAATTGTACGTTTTAATGGAAACACAGCACACTAAGGTAGTTCGGATAAAAGCTGCACACATACTGTATATACTCATTTATACCCCTATTCATACCTTATGCTCACATGTACATGTTAGCAGGTAATATGTACTATGATTACTATCACAGTGCAGCATTCAGTATATACATACATTATATCAGCTAAGTTACTACAGTGTTCCCCTGAGGCTGATGAGCATGTTCTTAGTTTTGTAGGTATTTGGTCTGAACCAAAATATTGATAAAATGAATACCTGTTAGAGGAGCTGAATAAAAAGTCTAAATATCACCAAATAGATTACAATTCATCCTGTGGAGAACTTTAAGTTTGTACTAAACTTCATGAGAGTCAAACCAGTAGTTGTTCCAGTATTTTACCCTTAATAAAATGGTGGACAAACTTCCCAATCACATCGCCATGTATGTTGGTCATGTTGGCCTATATGTCGATCTACCATGATTTCTAATAACATGATTCTGAATTATTAGAATGAAGTCTGACATGTAGCCCACGCATCGACAGCCACTTTATTGGAGAGCCGCAGTGATGACCCTCTGTATAATGTGAGCTACACAGAGCATGTTAGAGCAGAACAATCTGTCAGTGTCTGTCAGTGTTTGGTTACACCGAGGTATTGATGGTCTTACTGACGTCCAGTGTTCTCCAGTCAGTGCAACACATGTAGCTTTTGTCAGTTCCTCCGCTTTTCTTTGCCTTTTCACTCCCATGCAATTCATGGTAAAAATCCATGCTGGAATTATGGGAGGAATGTGTTAAGGTTTCCAGATTAATCGTGCGTTAATGCGTTAATGCATTGACAGCCCTACTCTTTATATATATCGCTCCTTCAGCAGCTCCTTAGATCATCAGAGGACTGTATTTCTGTGTGTGATTGTTGTTTATCTTTTAGATTCATGCCAAAATCACATATCCATTACACCATCCTGTTGATGCGTGAACAGCACACAGCAGCAGATGATGATCAGCTGCTGGGGTGATTATGTAATACTCCCTCAGTCACATCTGCTCTCTGAAACAGCTGTTCAAACCCAGTTAAACATGATAATGACAGCTCAGCAAACAGGAAGCTCCCTCACAGATCTGCAGCCAGAGACAGACCGGCATCCTCAATCATTATTGACTAATAGTAATGATATAATCTTTTTTTACTGTATACACATACTGTGTTCCCTTTAGTGTTTACTTCCTGTCTGTCTTCTTCTGCTATTCCTGTTAGTGTTTACTTCCTGTCTGTCTTCTTCTGTAGATTTCTCTGACGTCCAGCTCTCAGTCTTGTAACCTCTTTCTTCTCTTGTTCCTATTTTCTTTTCTTTTCTGGGGACCGTTTAGCCATCATGAATACACAGTTTCCTGCTCTCCTCAAATATAAAAACTAATATTCCAAAAATATTACTTGTTTTCTGAAGGAGAAACTAATGTTTGTTGTTCACAGCTGACATTTCAATTAACACACTTCTTTCTGCGGATTGATATGACTGCACACCAGTGGTGAGCTGTCAGGGCCCTCTAGGACCTCTCTGAGGTATTCTAAAAAATAATATTTGAAAACATTACAAAAAAAACATTTTAAAATATCTTTTTTTTTAATATTTTTTTTGTTATATTTTTCATTAGTTTTACCAAAATAACTTGATTTAATTGTATTTAAAATAACATTTCCAAAGAAATAAATCCTTCGAATCTGCCTGTTCAGTTTCTGTTGGAATGTGAAGGGTTACATTTCGTCTCGGCGAGTTATGTGAAGACGGGAGAGCTTGTTGGTCCCTCTGTACATTCACAGAGGGCCAGCTATAGTAACTCAATGAGAGAGTAATAGGCGCGTTCACACCAAGTACTTTTCCCACAGTAGTTCCTGAGAACTTTAGTTCATGAGAGTTCTTTTAGTTCTGACGAACTAAAGCAGATCGCGTTCACACCAAAATGAGTTCCTGGGGGTGGATTAGGCAAATGAGCCGCTGACGTCACTTCTTCTTCTTCTGCTTAGGTTTTCCTGGCAGGCTGCAAACAACTTCACGGCGAGTACAGTAGGTGGCGGTATGCACCTTAAAGTTGCAATCCGCCAAAAAACCGAGAGAAGAAGAAAAAAAACTTCCGCTTCCGCTGGATGCTTCTGTTTACCTTCCGACCTCAGACACGGTATGGAGTTGACGTTTTGGTGGTCGTGTTATACAGCTTCGTAACGGAGTTATTTAAGCCAATAACTCAGCCACAAATACAAATACAGATCGACCATTCAAATGCAATAGAAATGCTGAGTCGGAGGCGAAGGCGGTTAAGAAGCCTTAACAAAAGGATTAGACGACGAAATCACACACTATGGACATGTTTCGCCGTTGTACAGCCGAGGATGATGGCCGTTATCACGCCCAAAGAACAGCAATGGTACGTTCATTAAATCACATTAATACTATCTAATGTAGGATTTATGGAGTTATGTAGGGCTAATTTGTGTCTTTGTATGTGTTCCAGATATGCGAATACTACGGAACTCTGGGTGAACAATAGAACGTCGGCCTGGTGGGAGGTGGTGCCAACATGTGCAGTGGATCGAAGATTTCCGAATGTCCAAGGGCTCTTTTCAACTCCTCTGTATTCGCCTGGAA